TTCCAGTCTGATGTCAGATTATAAAATTTTTTACATTCACTGATCTCATTTGATTCAGAAGATGATTGGGTTGTTAAAATGATATTATCTAATTTATCCCCCCCTTTTTATATATGAGGAAATTAAAACCTGAAGAAGATGCTTGAGGTTCAACAAGAGGTCAGTGACAAAAGTCCAAACGAAAATACAAGTTCCATTATCATAATACTTTGTTAAGGAAGTTGGTTGCATTGCTCAATTGTGTCCATTCATCTCTTTGCACAGCGTCAGAACTCTATCCTTCTAAAATGATTATCAACCTGAAAAGTAATGGAATAACTGAGAGTAAGCTGCTAATCCGTGTTTTTGGCAATGGGGAAACAAAAATCCAATCAGAATGAAAACTGTTAAAACCTAGCCTATAACAGCAATAACTAAAACATTTCCCGTATTTCTAAATCTCAATCTCCATTTTCTGAACTTCCCAAGTTCATTTTCTGAACTACCTTAATGCAAGTCTGTCAATTAGCTGAGCGCTATCCTTAAAACTCATGCTATCCAAACACACTGTTTCACCATGAGTGGACTCAGAGCTCCTGCTGTACAGTCAAAAGCAATGGGTACATCCTTGCAGGAGGATGATTTCACAAGGAGGTTATCCGAGCTTCAAGTGTAGAGCTATGACCAGTCCTCCCTGGGTTATGGCTTAGCCTGGTTGTCTATGGTCATGGATCCCACCCACTAAGTATGCATCCTCTGAGATGAGATGACCTCGTTTTCAGACACAGCTACTAAAAGTACATGTCACATACAGGTAATTCTCTGCCTCTCAGAGATCAGAAATACCATTCTTTGGCTTCAGACTTTTCAATCTTGAGGGCTATTTCTTAGATAATAGAACCAGAGATTCCTAGGCCATTTTTTCTTTTCCAAATTTTACCATGGAAATTTTCAAACATACAGACAAGTTGAAAGAAGAGCATGACAAACACCTATGTACCCACCATGAAATACAACAAGCATTAATATTTTGCATACTACTTTATCTTTAATATGTTTTAATACCTAAAAATTTCACTAAGAAAACTCTACAAAAGAAGCTTACTCAGATTCTCTGAATGACTTCCCCTCCAGCCCCCTCATCCCTGCCAATCTTTGTGCATCTCAACGGAAGAAGCATTTAAGTCCTTAAACGATTTTGCCTTGAACATGCATGACATTCGGCCCAGAGGACTTGTTCTACCTAATTTATTGGTCACTGCCTTATATTTAAAGTCTTCCTTGAACCAGCTTTCTATGTCTAGGTCTTCATGATTGCCTTTCAATTCTCCTTATTCCGACTGATGAACCTTGCCTGTACCAACTTCTTTGCAATGATCTTGTCTGTGCCCCAGGATTCCACACAGCAAAAATCATCCCTTAGTAAACTGGGAATGGTGTGACTCTCAGAACCTAAAGATGCATCTTCCATAGATGACTCAGGACTGCTGTTCTCTAGGGCTTTATTCTATCAATCAAGAACAAAGTCTGGGGCTTCCCTGGTGGCGCAGTGGTTGAGAGTCCGCCTGCCGATGCAGGGGACACGGGTTGGGGACATGGGTTCGTGCCCCGGTCCGGGAAGATCCCACATGCCGCGGAACAGCTGGGCCCGTGCGCCATGGCCGCTGAGCCTGCGCGTCTGGAGCCTGTGTTCCGCAACGGGAGAGGCCACAACAGTGAGAGGCCCACGTACCACAAAAATTTAAAAAAAGTCTGTATCTATGGATCTAATGCAAGCAGTTTCCATATCACTTTTCTTTACCTTCTTTTTTTTCCCTTGCATGCTTTCAGGTGATTTCTACTATTCTTTATTTCCATTTGCCAGTACGTAAGGAGTAGGACAGAATGATAATGAAGAGCAACATCTTTGTATTCAAACTATTATACTTTCCGGTGCCGTAGCTGTGTAACTTGGTACACAAGTTCCTTAATTTCTTCATGTAAGACAGAAAAACAAACCAACCAACCAATAGCGCCCAGTTTGTAGGAATAAAGTCAATTTTAAATGAGATAATATAAGCAATGCTCTGGCACAGTGACACGTACAGGCTAAGTCCTTTAATGCGTACTAACTACTAATATTAATACTATTACTATTCTAAACGCTGTTTGAATGCAGCCACTATTGAACATAGAAACAAAATAAATTTCTTAGCAGACTATCAGTAACAGAGAATGACTGGGGTAGGAGAGTGGGTAAGTAGGCGAAGGAACTAAGTAGATCTGAATCAATCCAGCAGCAGCAATTTTAATTGAATTCCTTTTACTTTTTATTACAAATGAAACTTCTGCTGTTGAAAAGGAATATCTGGCCTGCACTAAATTTCAGCTGTGAAATAAACTGTTCTATTTATCAGTAAAAACTGGAATGGGATATTTACAAATTTCCTGAAAAACCTCTTATCAATTTCAAACTCAGGATTAACTACACAACTGAGAGAACAGTCACAATCCATGAGTCTTCTTTTTCGTCCAGGAGTGTTAATTTTATGCACGTCAAATGTGTTCAGGAACCTGCACATTTTGCCATTAGCCCTTATTGGAAGTGGGGCTGAGAGGGTGATGATTTACAGTAATAGTGTCCAGTCGGTCTTAATGACAAGAGTGAACAGCCACCACCTTTTTTTGTCTGATTATTGGCTTAATGATTAGAAGCCATATTTATCATCGATATTGGCCCTCTCTTGTCCCTCTCAAAGACTTTTGATTGTTGATTTTTTCCCACCCATCCAACTTTGCATATGTACATTCAGAATTCATTGACAATCTTTACTGAGTTTATTTACAGGGTAGGTGCTTTGTCAGTGCTAGGTATAACAAAGAGAACACAACTGGTTCTCTGGTCTAAATGTGGGTATCACCGAAAAAAGGAAAACACAATGTAATGTCTACATGATTGCCGTGAAGATTTGATGGGAAAAATGTATCCAGCACTGGGTCTGATGCTTAGCGAAGACTTGCTACTTCCCAGGCCCCTCCCCGCTCACTCCCTGCCAAATGAGTAACTCATTATTGCTGTGCTTCTCTCTGCCTTCTTCAGGATTCTGACTTCCTTCTGTGCTTAACTCTTAAAACGTGTGAACTACAACCTCTTTGCATTCCTCCACTGCCCATGCGGTCCCCATCTCATCAAGGTCTTTGTGATACCATATTTTCATTGCAGCCACTATTGAACATAGACACAAGCAATAAATTGTAGTGGATTCCAAGCAATAAGTTTAGCACAATGTATCTGCTAAGATAATTCTTTCCGTAAGTACTTTCAAATTCCACCACTTTGGTGGAGTCTTTGCAGACACTGCCTGTCAACTTATTTTATCTTTCCGCTATTTCTCTTTTTCCCTAAGGCCTGTATGCGAGCAGTGCCTGTATCCAATTCATCTCTTTACTTCCAATGGCTGACACAGCGTACAAACTATGCTCTCTCTTGGCCTCAGTCTCTCCCTCCCTTGACAAACAAATGCCATTTTCTCTACAAACAGGATAAACAAACAAAGAAGCTGGCTTATAAGGATCTAAGACAATGCACCAGTCAGGAACGATGAACACAGCAGATAATGAAAATTAGATATAACAGATAAGAAAAGTATGGGAGTGAGAGGCAACCTACGGTAACGGTTAGGAGCTCTGGCTCTGAACTTAGAACAGGACTCAGATCCCATCTTCACTGCTTACTTTCTCTGTGATCTTAGACAAGTTACACCAGCCTTCATTTGAAATAAAGATCATAACAGTTTTAACTTATGAGGTTGTTATAAGTTATTGTAACTGTAATAATACATGGAGTGTACTCCCTACTGTCTGACCCCTAACAAGTGTTCAATAAATGAATAATAGTATTATTATCATTATTATGAAAAAGTCACCACATGTTCACGTAAAACAGAATATATCAGAGACAACTGAACATCTCAGAATAGAGAGTCTTCCCCAATAATGGAGAGGAATTCTTTACATTGCAATGTTTTCAGAGTAAGACAGATATCTTTTTTCTTCATCTTTTTTTCCAGGGAACCATCTAATACAAAATAAACTTTAAAAGAAGACACTGTCATATTTCACAATTCATCCTCCAAAGAGCAGAGCACCACAGTTCTTCTCTGATAGAAAGGTACATTTAATAGTGTAAATTCATTATTAATAAACCTGAGATGATGGCTATTTATTTGCAAATCTGATTGCTCCTTGGAGGTAAGAGGGCAAAAAAAGCCTTCCTGTTCTCAGAGGACCAGACCCAGTTCATAGAGCTCAGGAACAATTTATGAAACAGAATATCTGCCACATTCAAACAAGGATTTGGCACTCATAATTTTTTTCCACTTTAAAGAGACCCTGTGTCTAAGCTATTTTGATATTGTTTATCCCTACTCCTTAAAGAAAGCAGCTTTATGAGCCAAAAAAAATATTGTTTTGCCCTTCAGTATAAATAAACATTTTGCCTCCTTATTTATATTTTTCTTGACATAGCTTATTTCAGGCCTCTATCATACCCTGTTTGAACTATTACAAGAACATCCAAAGTGGCATCATTTCTAAAATTTCTCTGTCAACTGAAGTGAAATGGTAATACAAAATTGACAGAAATTTGCTAATGCATCTAATGTTAATAGACAAAGGACACAACTGTGTTATATATATGTGTGTATATGTATTATAATATATAAATTTTTCACTTCTTTTGGAAATAAAAAAATCATCACCATTAACAATAAATATTTAAGCAATTAAAAAAAAAGAAAGCAGCTTTAGGATCAGCAGCTGATATTGGAAGATAATTCAGAAAAACTTAGGCTTAGCTGGGATAAGTCCCTTTGTAAACATGGAACACTGAGCTCTCAGATGTCTAGTGACTAGGAGGTTTAACGGCTTATCAGCAGAATTAAAGGAGGACTAAGAAAAACAGCACAATATGCCCCTCCAAAAAAAACAACAGTAACTAGTGTGTTCAGGAAGAGTTCAATTTTGAAATGGACGCTACAGACCTGAGGCCGTAAAGGACCGTCCCGTCTGGATGCAGCCGGATCATGCGGTTCTTGACAGTCACTCCGTGCACAAACGACTTCTTATCGTTCAGGAAGTAAGTATCAGGCACCCAGAGCTGGTCTGCCACTCTATTGTCCAGAGTCAAGTTTAAAGGAATTACATTATAGGACAGCCTCTTATCTCTCCAAGCTTGCTGGAAGTACATTGTCAAGGTATAATCCTGTGAAATTGAGAAGATAAAAGAAAAAAAGGGTTATTTTGTACATAAATGGACTTGGGAGACAGGCAAACACTTCAGTATTCACAGTATACACAACCAAATACCAAAAACATATACTATTCACATATAGGCAAATATTAATTTACTAAACCCAATCTTACTGAGCCCACACTATGTGTCGGGCACCACAGTATCTACAGAAGTGAAGAGAGCATATCCTTGTGAAATTTATCATACATTATTCAGGAAGAAAGATGGTAAGAAATAATTATTTAATAATTAATTTGTCTTAAAGTGCGGTACCCAGGATTGTTTTAGGTGGAACATAAATACAATTGTAAAAAGTGGTTAATTTATTACAGTAGTAGTTATAAGAGTTTATAATGAGAATCTCAATCCGTCTGATCAAAGTGAGTTTCCTAGTGGAGGCAACATTTATACTGAGACTAATGTAGCTTCCCACCTATCTAAAAAATATTAGCTCAGTTAGTATTTCATGAGAATTTTGGGGATTCTGGATCATCAGGCTAGGCTCTTTCGTTTGGAGAAACTGTGTGTTGTTATAAAGGGAGCACTGGTCTTGGAGTCCCAGGCTCCAGCATCTTCCAGCTATTTCTAGGAGTAAATTTACATAACTTCTTTTCACTTCAGTTCCTTAACTATAAATGGGCTTTTAATATATCCCTGATCTATCAAAAGATTACTATGACAATTAAATATATAACTCAAATGCAATCTGTAAACTACAAAAAGCTATAAATTATGAACAAAGTATTTACATACATATTGTGACATGTTCTCTCCATTAGAGGCCTACGGGTACAATGTAATTGCTCTTTCACCCTCATTTGAACGACTAAATGAAGGACCAAATATTCATTTGAAAAGGATAATTACCATTCTATTTTAATATCAGTTCACAATGCCCTACTTGAGGGCTTTAAAAAAAAAACAAAACTAGAATTATGTATTAATCATATCTGCAACCTGAGAGCCAGCACAGTCCTAGGGCACAAATAATGAATGAATGGATATCCAATATGGTATGCCTATTGGATTTCTGCACATACTTGCCTACTTTTGTGGATAAAATACACACTTCAGTCGCTGTGAAGTCCCTGAGTTTTTCCAACCCTTGCTGAGATTTATACATCTTAATTTGGCTATGCAATTTTAAAATACGACTTGCAAAATATTACCTGCTAAAAACATTAAATAGCTTCATAGGAAAAGTATAATCCTCCAGCAAAAAATTTAAATATTTTCCCTGGTTTCACAAATATACAAATTTTTATCTCATTCAGAAGTCAGTGTAGAGCTGACTTCTGAATGAGAAGCACAGAATCAAACTTCTATTCTAACAGAAGAATATTAATATCCTAAAGGTATATCAAATAACTGTAGGTGAAATTTACTTCAGTGGATTACTTTAGTCAGTGCTCTGGACTGTTCTAGCACACTCTGCTTTATTGAAGAATTAGTCTGAGGATCTCTAGCATAACATCCTGATTTATAATAAAAGCTAACTTGAAGGCTTGTGAATTATATAACGAGAGAACAGAAAATGGATCAGATACATTTTTTACATGTCTCTATGTTGCAAACGGCCTAAAAACTTGGCCATAAATAAAATAGGCAATTTACATTGTGCTTGAGAGAACACACTTAGTGATTTCCGATTCTTGGAGATAAAATGGAAAATTTGATTATTATCTCTATTAGAAGATGAAGCTACATCAGCCCTCTTAAGAGTTAGGGGAGATAACACAGATTGGAAGGTGCTGGAGTTTATCAGTCAGCTGAGATGTGTTTGGACACAGGAAATTGTATTTTCTTTTGGGCTAAATAAATGGTAATATTGTGAGATCCAGAGTCATATGCTAACTCCTGTTATTTGTCAGCAAGGCACTGCCTGGTAAGAAATGCTCCCAGACAGACCCTGGTGATTCTGCTAACTGTCACATCAATTTTCATTTCTTTTATTTTAAATGACACATCATGACACTGTCAAGAAAGGAAGAGGTTCCTGAATCGAAATAAATGTTACTGGACATAAAAGGAAACAATGGTTCTGTGTTCTACTCTCTCTCCCAGACCCTCATGCCCCCATGAGGCTTTGAACTTTTATGTAGAAAACATCTTTTACACCCATCCAACAAGCCTGCCTTCAGGAAGCTGTGTCACTGTTGGTCTATTCAAACTGAAAAAAAGCAAGTAAACCACTTCTGGGTGCTCCACAACCCATGGCATCACCATGCAAGAAGCAGTTAGATAATCAAAACTAAAACCAATTGACTTTCAATGCTGAGCAAGATGGAGTAAGCCTACTACAGGCTCTCTCTCCTGCTAATCACAACTAACCATCCTGGAAAGAATAAAAAAGCCACTATCTAAGGACTGTGCAAAGTGAAAACTAATAGGCAGATTGGCAGAAAATCAAAATGTGAAGAAAACCCATTACAATAGTGAGCTTATTTATCTTTTCTGCCTCTTTTCTCCTCTTAAAGTAACACACACTCACACAAACACAGCCAAAAGCAAAAATAAATGGAGAGATACACCAAGTTCCTGGATTTGAAAAGTGAGTATTGTTAAGATGTCAATTCTCAAATTGATCTGCAGATAAAGTTTAAAAATGTAATCCCAATCAATACCCAAGCAGGATTTTTGTAGATATGAACAAGCTGATCCTAAAGTCTATATGGCAAGCAAAGGAACGAGAATAAACAAAACAATTTAGAAAGGAAAGAACAAAACTGGAGGACTCACACTACCTAATTTCAAGACTCACTCGGAAACTCCATTAAGACAATATGACAGTGTAGTATTGACAGAAACATAGATCAATAAAATAGGAGAATCTAAAAACAAACCCACACAAATACGCTCAAAGATTTCTGACACAGGTAGAAAGCTGGTAGATTTGAGAAAGCATAATATTTTCAGCAAATAGTGTGAATCAACTGGAGCGTGCAAATGTAAATAAATAAGCAAACAAGTAAGCAAGATAGATGTCTAAGTTAGTGTGAGATCCACATATTCACTATTGTATATGCGAAATTTGTCAATGTGACGCTCCCACATCCCAAAGGTAGGTGGTCTCCAAACTTTAAAATTGTACACAAGTAAATATGTTGAACGAGGCCCCCCAAATAAAACAAAACAAAAACACAGCTGACCATTTCAAGTGCTGATGATGATGCAGAGCAACTAAAACTCTTACACATTGCAGGTGGGAATACAAATAATCAGCCACTTGGAAAACAGCTAGACAATCTCTTACAAACTTAACATACATTTGACATACAACCTAGCAATCCCACTCCTGTGTGCAAATGTTCAGAGCAGCTCCTGATACATGCAACATCATCAATGATTTTCAAAGAAAGTTAAGTCGAAGAAGGCAGATTCAATAGAATACATAGTACATGATTCCATTTATATGAAATTTTGGAAAACGTAAAACTATAGGAACAAAGAACAGATGAGTGTTTCTCTGGTATTTGAGGTGCTGGAGAGGTTGACTACAAAGGGACAGCATGAGGAATGATTTTGGGTAGCAGAACTGCTCTGCATCTAAACTGCAGTGGTGGTTACACAACTCTAGGCATTAGTTAACTCATAGGACTATACACCAAAATAAGTGCATTTTTCTGTATGTAAATTTAAAAAACAAATTTAAAAACTGCTTAAACAAAACGAACAAACAAACAAAAAAACCCCATGATCTCTAAGGTCAGACACACCCAGGTTCTTACCCCAGTACTTTCATGTCCATCTGTCATAACCTCGGTTGAGGTGAATGAGTCTCTGCTTCCAACTCAAAAGAAGAAACTGAAGCTAATGAACTTAGGAATTGGGGAAAACAAGAGCTGCTTTGACACCTGGAGGGGGGTGGAGTACATCGATGCTACAAAATAAGTCATCTCCATGCATACCAGGGAACACGTGGCCCCCATCAGGATGCACTAAGATTACCACTAAATGGTCAGAGTTTCACAATTCCCCATGTGTACAATGAGGCAGTTGGACTAGGTAGTTTCCAACTCCACCCCTAGGAATAAAACAATTCCATTCTAAGAAATGCTTTGCCACCCCTGTGTTCAAATGCATCTCGCCATTTCAAAATCTTCTAAACATCTAAAGTACTTTCATAATTGTTTCTTGCTGTCTTTGTAATTCATTCCCAATACCAAGATTCAAACTCTTCCTGTTTCTTTGGTTTAGTCTTCTACAAAATATATGGTATGAAATAATTTGTGTATGTGTTTATTATCTTTTTTTAACTTTATTATTTTGTGAACGTCCTATTCATGCTCTATGAACACTTTTCTGTTTACCTCCTGTCACTGTATATTTGATAGGTGGATATCAATCTACATAAAACATTTTATTATTTTGCTGTTTCCTTTTAAAGTTATTCTTATAATTAGTTTAACTTTATAGTTTAAAACAAACAAAAAAATATCAATAGTTCAGAGGGCTTCTGTATACTTTTCACACAGCCTCCTCTAAGATTAACATTTTGCATAATTATAGAACAATATCAAACTAGGATATTAACATTAATATAATACTATTTACTCAACTACAGACCTTATTAGAATATCACCTGTTTATTCACTAAAGTTCTTTTCCTGTTCCAGGATGCAGTCCAAGATCCCACCATGTATTTAGTTTTTCTGTTCCTTAGCATCCGTCAATCTGTGAGAGTTCCTCAGTCTTTCCTTGTCTTTGATGATGTAATGCTTTCGAAGAGTACTGCTCAGTTATCTTGTTAAATGTCTCTCAATTTGAGCTTGTCTGATGTGTTTATGATGAGATTGAGTTTATACAGTTTTGGCCAGAATATCACCAAAGAAACACTGTATCCATCATATAACGGGTATATGATGTCAATATGTCTTATTACTGGTGAGGATATTAATCTTGAACAGTTGGTTAATGTAGTACCTGCCCCGTTTCTCCACTGTGAAGTTACTATTTTCCCTTGTAATTGA